CTTCTCCCCTACCCCCCTTCTGTGGAAACCTGGCCCCCACTGACACCCTGGCCCCTGGTGCGGAAACCTGTCCACCACTGGCACCCTGTTCCCTGCCCCAGAACTCACTAGCACCCCTCCCTAGTACTGTGTCCCCTGCTCCCGACTGACTTTTCTATGGGTTAGTGACCCCTGACTCAAGGCAGGTTCCCTGCCATTCTCATAAATAAAGACAATGCAGAAATTTTTTGTGTTTGACCTAGTATTTTATTTAAAAATGAAGCCTGGCCAAAAAAAAAACCAGTTGGGGCCGAGCCCCCATCTGGCCACAACCACTCTTGCATTCCCCCTTTTTCAGACCCTAGATTTGAGCCTATCATGCACTGGAGCCCCCTGCCCTGAGCCCCTCACTTCCCTCAACTCATATTCCTGAACCTTCACATTCACAAGCCTGTGGCTTGCTTAGTACCCCCACACTGCCCAGCCTGGTCCACCTCCTCTTGCATCCAGATTTCCTCCCAGAGCTTGCACCTCTCACCCCTTCCCACAGCCAAATCCCTCATTCCCACCCCCGACTACACATCCTGTCTCAACCCAGCAAGGGTCCAGCTAGACTGCAAGAGTTTTTCAGGATTCTGGAGATTCCCAGAAAAACTCTTCTGCATCCAGGATTGCGTTTGTTCTTCCACTTTTTTTAGCGGAAGAGCAAACATTCTCTTTCGGTCACCCCTATATTCCTCTTTCTACGAGGAATAAGGTGGCTTCCAAAAGAAGGTGTTTTTTTCTGACATTTGGTTCAGTCTAGACAGGCCAAATGTTGGAAAAACCTCTTCCTACAGAAGAATTTTTTTTTAAAGCAGCAGTATAAGGATTGGGGATAGCAAGTGATGGAGAGGAGGAGAATAGAGAGGGCGGGGCTTCAAGGAAGAGGCAGGGCAGTAGATCTTGACTTGGTCTGTCATTTAAAAAGTGATCTTGGGTGTAAAAAGGTTGGAGACCGCTGTTGTACATGATCTTAATGTTGTGCCCCTATCGTAATACTGAGCCTGACTTCACTGGAGTTACACCAGCTTGGCAGCGGAGTAACACTGTTGAATCAGGCCTGATGTTGGCATGCCGCCACTGGCTCAACGTCGGACACCTCTTAAGAAGCAAATCCTTAGTGTCATAGGAAAGTCCATATGCTGGCCCACCGGGGTGCAGAGTTGTAGCACAATTGAAGCAGAAGAGGAGAGGGAATCTGGTGATACAAAACTTTTATCTGAAACAAATATCCAGGAGCTTTCTCATGATGACTATTCAGATAGGTCCATCCAAACCCAATTTAATATACAAACTAAAGGCAATACACTATCTCTAAATTAAATATGTTAAAAAATGGCAGACATTCTCCACGTGTCCTTCTTAAGATGCAGCATCTGGGTCAGCCTGAATTAGCCTGCCCTTGTGGCCATGCCTGCACAAGTCACCTTGTCGCCATGGTTTTGTCCATTAGTCTTGTGGAGAAGCTTTCATAGACTTCAATGTCAAAAGGGGCCATTATGATCATCTGGTTTGACCACCTGCAACATTGCAAGCCACAGACCTCACCCACCGATTCCTGTAACAGACCCCGAATCTCTGAGGACATATCTACACTAAGAAGTTATTGCGAAATAACTTATTTCAAAATAATAACTCCTGAAATAGCTATTTTGAAATAAGCATTATTCCTTGTGGAAAGCAGGGGTACAGATTTCGAAAAAAGCAGCCCGTTAGGGGTTGGTAGTTTGGACTCTCCACTTATAAACTCGACATAAGGGGAGTTATTTTGAAGTAACGCCCTAGAGTAGACCAGGGCTGGATGAGTTACTGACGTCCTCAACTCATATTTTGAAGATTTCAAGTTTTAGAGGATCCATCATTGACACTAGTTTAAACCTGTAAGTGACCTGTGCCTCAAGCAGTAGTCTTTCTTGGTGAGGTGCTGGTACCTCACAACATAAACTAATAATCTTTTGCCTTTCCCAGGCTCCACAGTCAATTCTTTCCCATTCTTCTACAGTGAGAGATGACTCTCAGGTCCCTTAGGAACCTCCCATCTTCCAGAGCCAGTTATGGGGGGTAGCTGGACTCGGTACTGCAATTCTCAATCCGCCTCCAGGTCATCTGTCTGGGAGTTACCCTTCTCCCGAGTCTACCAGATAAACAAGGCCATCTGATTTCTAGCTGGTCAACTGGGAGGCTACGTCTACACTGGCCCCTAATTCTGGAAAAATCATGCAAAGCAGGAATAAGAGATCCTCTGGAAAAGGGCTTTATTCCGGAGGATCGCGCCAGTCTAGACGCTTTTTTCCGGCTTTTCCCCAAGCCGGAAAAAAAGCGGCGGACATGTTTATTTAAATCCCCCGCAGATTTCCCTATTCTGACTTACCTGCTTTGCATGACTTTTCCGGAATTAGGGGCCAGTGTAGACGTAGCCGGAGGGTCACTGATTTTCCATAGGTGAGGCTAGGCCCAAGTACCCTTGTCCAGCTAGTCTGTAAAAGGCTCCCATAGGTGTTTTGGTTTTGTGTGCTCTGAGACACGTGATCCCAGTTGGACCATAATACATGAGAGATTCTGTTCAATTTTTGAACTTCTTGACTCTTGAATTACTGCCGGGTAAGCAGTTCAGGCATTATTTTGAAGCTGCCCTGTCTTGCTGTGTTTACACCCCTGAAATGAACTCCAGCATTACAAGTTCATTTGGTAGGCACTTGCATTGCACCATTGTAATCCAAACATCATATGTTGTGTGCTGGAGAGGAGCAGGTTTCCCTGCTTCCAGCCCAGAGAGAGCCCTGAACTTTGGGAACCTATCATGCCTGCTCTTCTCCGTCACACATTGGATTATAATGAAGCTGGAGCCCAAGAAGTAGATCAGGGTTTTTCCATACCTGAATTCTTGCCTGTCTCTGCCCCCTTCCTCTCCC